ATACATCAAGATGAGAAATGAAAAGAAATATTGTCAATGATTTATTTACTATATGTTATAAGTTATTAGCAACTCTGTAGTATGTTGTTTATTTTATGTTTAATTGGAAGCACAAAATCTAAAAAGTTCCCTAAAACTCTATTCTTAGGTTGGTCTGTCACAAAATAACATGATAAGACATGTCCTGTCTATGGGTTTTAATGGGTTACGTTGTGACATCATAAGCCAAGAGAAAAACTTTTTCTAGGCATGAAATTAAAATAAAAAATATATATACTTCATTACAATGTAAAAAAATAAAAGTACAAGAGATAAAAAAGAATAAATATCACCAGGAAATCCATTACAACACGATTACAAACTCCTTGCACTCCTTCCTCTCTTGTCTCTAGACTCTCCCTTACATGAGACATAAGCTCTTTATTTATAGTTTTTATAAATAACTGAATTGTCCCACAATGTTGACTCGGTAGTGTTGTGGCACTGTTGAATTGATGTGCAGATTTAGCATTGGTCGCATCAGTTTTCTAATTCAACTATCTATAATTATCTTTCATCATGGCCATGGAAATTTGGAACTGTGATGCTTGGTCTGGAGCTGCGACGCTCCTTCCAAAGTGCCTTAGCTCCTTGGTCTTGAAAGAAATTAAGCCCTCTAACACTGTAATGCTGAGCTGGTAGCACTCTGATACTAGGGGAAATGTAGTTGTTTTGCTCTGTCTGTGGCGCTACGGTGCTCTCTCATTTTTAGGAACTTTTATTTGGTCCGGTGAACATACGCTCCTCTACGTTCGGCCACCAATGTATTAACGCCACTTAGAATGAAGAAAAGTCGCCGACCCGACCCGCTGTATTTTGGGTTTTCGCACGTGCGTTTTTTTAAATTCCTTACCACCCGAATTGTTCCCTGAACAGGAAACCCATCAACACGTTTTTTGGATATATTTAAAATTTTTATGAACCCCATGGATTTTTTTTTTTTGGATAAAGTACATTGGAAGGTTAATCGACTTTCTGTTACTATTCACCTCCTTCGTATTTCTCAAGCTTTTTTCATGATTTTAAAGAAAAACTCCGGTCGAGAACCTCCCCAGTTATAATGCTTGAGGTTAGAAATTGTTGCCGAAGAACTTTCCTTCTTGTCTTGTAGTTTATCTCCTTTAAAAATTATAAAAAACGTATGTTTAGGGTTAGGGTTAAGTATCGTTCTGTTTTAGTATAGAAAACTGAATGATAACTGTTATGGCATTTGAAATCTATTATTTTGGTAGTTTATAATACTCGGTACAGGAGATAGTACTCGGTACTTATCGGTACTAATTGGTATTCGATATTCGGTACTGATATGATCCTTGGTATTGCTCGGTACATTTCAGTATAGGGTTTTTTTCAGAGAAAATGCTCGGTATTTACCCTAAAAATCTCGGTCTAGGTACAACCCGGTATACCTCGGTACAACACTTTATTTAGGAGTAAATATCGCTATTTACACTAAATATATGATTATTTTATATATAATATTACAATATACTATGATTGGCACTCCTCGGTATAACTAGGTACAGTTGGTACAACTCGGTTTACGTTGGTGCGAGATGAAAATTTTCAGAGATACAAGATAATACAAGGAATAAATACCAAGGACAATACGTAATAATACAAGAAAATACCGATCTATACCGAGTTTTCTAATTTCTCGGTACAAAAATATGAAAATTATAATCGGTCCATAGTAAACTTAATTTACATAAAAAACTAAAAAAAACTCACCATACCGAGTAAATACCGAATTATACCGAGTTATATAAAGCTCGGTACAAACAACTGGAAATTACAATCTCGGTATATATAACACAGAAGTCACGTTAAGATACTAAAAAACTATCCATATTGAGTTTTAAGTATAAATACCGAGCATTACTGAGTTTCCAAAAAACTAGGTACAAGTTTTTCATAATTAAAAATTCAGTACAAAGAAACATAACCGAGCTGTACCGAGTTTTAAAAAGGGTCGGTACAAACTGTGTAATAATTAAAATTTGTGTACAAAAAAAACCTAGTATTATATATAAAACCGAGTAGTACCGAGTTATAAAAATGTTCGGTACAATCAAAAATGTTTTGATCATACGAGGATGGATGAGAAATTACTTGTAAAAAATAAGAAAAATAATCATCCAAAGTATAAGTGCCATTTGTTTCGTCGAAATCGTCTAACTCTTCCAAAAAAATAGCCGGAATCTTCTCATCCATCGCCTTCAACCCTTCGCGAAAGCTTTCTCTTCTACCAGTAAACCCTAAATACTGGATAACGTTATGTCTACAGAAGCTAATCGGCCAAAAGTTTATTCATATAAAGTTTCCGCGGGTTTTAAATTTTTCCCGCCCATTTTAGCCGAATTACTGAAAAAAAAACACGCCAAAACTCACAATTACTACCGGTTTGGGTCGGGTCTTCGGGCCTCTACGTGGCGTTATAACATTGGTGGCCGAACCTATAGCAACATACGGTCAGATAACGTAATAATTGTTCCATTTTTTTGAATGTTTTGCTTATTTATTGGATAAAATGATAAAATTAAATAGCTTTTTTTTATAAAATAGATATAATTTGGATTATACATTTGTTTCTTTTATCAAGCATCAGTGATATATGAGAAGTGGAGTCTTGAAAAAAGCTCTCTAGAGAGGGCATCACAAGACCAACAGTGTGTGAAGGATCTCATTGGGAAAAGAGAAGATGAGTTCGTTATGGGAGCTCACTGAGATCAAACTTCGATGGAACTGACAATGTGTGAGGAGAAGATGATGTATCACATGGAGGTGGTCTTATCACTAGAGCTAGGACAAGAAAATGTGAAGTTGAAATTATGAAGCATCCATGAAGATTTACATCATTTACATGTTATGTTTTAGGTATTTTCATGTTTATAAGATGTTGTGTGGGCCACATAGTACTGTATTGGCTTTGTTAGTGTTTAATTTGTTATTTTGAAATACTAGAGTGAAGTGGCAAGCTAAGAAAGTGTCTAGGAAGAGTAGAGTGGCTGGCCAATCATGAAAGAGACAATGGTTATGATGATGGCAAGTGTGGGTCGCTCCTTCGTCAAACTTCTATTCCCTCCTTATTAGTGTTTGAATGCCAAGAGGTTTGTCTCTTAGACTTGTCTTAGTTGTGTTAGACTCCTTTTTCTATAATGAAGTGCATTATTGATTGTGAAACACATTTAAGAGAATATTTTTTAAAGATTTTGGAGGCTTGGTGGACGGCCAACCGAAGGAGATGGTGTGATCATCTTGAAGCCTCTACTTTAATTAGTATAATTTAATTTTCTAGCATAATTTAATTTTCTTGCATTCATGTTTTTACTGCAAACTTTTGTAGTATGTTTTTGTGCTATTAATCCACCTTCTAAATATTCAAAATCAATTTCTTTTTCTCAAATTCCAAGTCTAATCCTAATTGCTAGTGCCAACGAATACTTGCTACTTAGTTGGACTAGTTTTAGGCCTACTAAAAATTTTACCAAAATATTCAAATCTTTAGCTAGCATCCCATACTTCAATAACCCTAAATTTATTGGGGGTGGGTCTAGTTAAAATCTTAAAGAACAAATTAACCCTAGTTATATTTTTATTTGCAGTTCCAGCCAAGTAACCTATTTCCAGGCCCATATAAAATCCCTAAAAAAATCAAAATACCATAAAAACGCTAAGACTTTATAATCTCATCTATAGAGTTTTTTATCACGTCAAAGTGGAATTTATGAGTCCAACTAATCTGTATAAAGCAACACTTAAATCACCTACCTTGATCTCTTCTAGATAGAATTGACCTAAACCACTTCTAAAGCACATTTGGACTATTTAACCCTTGTCAAATTTTATCAAACGCTCCAGAATTAAAGTAGACATCTTCCCCTTGAAATCAAGTCCAATTTTGTTGGATTTAAACATCTATAGAGGAATATATATTAGGCAAATTTTAAATTTCAATTTTTGAACAAATTGTAATAATTATGGCTTACTACCCAAATTTCTTCAGCCTTATGCACATCTTTAAATTAACTTTTTCAAATTAGTCTTAAATCTTCTAATTGTCCTAAATGAATTTCATTTACAATAAACTTCAATAAACAATCCATGAATATGACAAGAGATAATTCCATTTGAAATAAATCTTCATGTATATTTCACAAAGAAAAAAAGAATGCTAAACATATTTTATCAATTACCAATATAAAGTCAAATTTCACACTATAAATCCTTGATTTATTTTAGATAATTATTTTAAAATAAATTATCATAATTATCATAAAATAAATAATCATAAATTATCCTTGATTTATTGTTTGTTCATTTTTTTTAGTCCATTTGTTTAGTCATAATTATAAAGTTAATTTGTTTTCTTATTATAGATATTTTTTAGCATTTAAGTTTTTGTCAAATAATAACTTTCTACTTTGTGCTTACATATCTAGCACCTAAATTTTAATATTAATTTATATATTTGTTGTTTCAATTACATCATATATACGTGTAAATGTATATCTCACTTTTAAAATATTAACATTATTGACATTTTTTATATGATTTAAATTTTAGATTTTAGATATAATATAAATAAATATAATAAATTAGATAGTATATATGTAAACACATACAAATGGTGATGCGTGTACCCAAATCTTGCTTTCTTTTAATATATTGAATTAAGATTCTCAAAGTTTTCCACAAAAATTTTATTTTTCATAGCCAAGTCACCCTTTTTTGTTTTTCAAGAAATGGTTACACAAGTAAATTTTTATTGAATTGAGAGGTGTATCATGTTAAAAGTTTAATAATATCTTTTTTAATATTTATATCAATAAATATAACAATACAAACACAATGAAATGATGGACAAAACTGAGTCATTATAATTCAAACAAAATTCATAAGAAATGATTTCATGTGAAACAATATTGTGAACAAAAAATTGCGAAAATGTTGGGGATGCCTAAGCTTAAATTTCACCCTGCTTGCATTCATAATTAAACACAATATCTACATATAAAAAGAATTTCAATAACTTAGCAGGACTTCATTAAAAAAATAATAATAATACATTTTTTTTTAATATTTTGGGGAAAGTGAAAGCCAAAACCCTAAACGGCTGCTGATAATTTTGACAAAATTTGGCAGTGATAAATAAAGGCTACATATTACTACAAAATTTGGCAGTGACAAGATTCTAAAGCTACGTAACTCAATTGAAGAGGATAAAAAATAGTGCTAAATTACAAGCGAAATTCTCCTGCAAAAAAAAAAAAAAAAAAAAAATGCGGATTATGGGCTGTCGTATTAAATTTGTAGTTGCATCAGCTGTGGGGTGGTTTGTTCAAGATTACTTCAGGTGCAGGACAATATTCAATCAATTCGCTGAGATGAGCCGATCCAACCTTAATAAACGATGCAAACAATACTGCATATCATATTAATGAAAACTTATCAGTACCACAGAAAAAAAAAATTCAAAAAAACTTCCACTGTACCCCAAATAATACTCAATTGACAATGATGAAAATTGCGTTAAACTCGAATAAATTATAAGATTAAGGATTTGTTTGTGACAGCTTTTGTTATGTTTTAGAAAGCAATAAGAAAACTGTGCAAAACAAAGCCTAAAACTCTGACTAATTCATGTTAATCATTAGCTAGCTGAATAATAGATGAGCAGTATTGAAAGAACTATGATCGCTGAATCACATCAACGAGGAAATTTGTGAATGTCAATTATAATTGGCAAAAACACTGCAAATTCAATGTCAAACAAAAAGATTAGATATATTAAGCCTGAAGCATTAAATGTGCAAAATAATAAGCAGCAAACAAAATAAAGTAGGCATCATAAGAAGAAAAAATGAAAGATGATTGCCCCAATGCATCAAACATGAACAAAAAGTAATTGTCCCAGCAAAAATAATAGCACACAGTCTGGCTCATTATTATTATGTAATATGACGCGCGTCAATTGAATGCAAAGCCACGCCACCTCAAGGAAAGTAAGAAAGAAGCATTATTTCTCCCGTTAATCGTGAAAAGGTGAAGGTGTTCTTTAACAGGGAAAATGCAATACCCTGCCTAGAAAGTAAAAAAAGATCATTTAGCGTAAAAGTAACAGCTTAAGTTATAAAACTACTGCGCTTGAAGTGATCGTTTTCATAATAAAAAGCGTTACCTGCTGCTTCCACATGGCCCACATACAAACTATCTATGGCTACCTTCATGATTCCCTATCAGGTATCCATTCAGGCTGGGCCTATTTATCCAAAATCTAACTGCAGTAAAACTCAAGGAAGAGAGGCTTTTTCTAAATTCCATCCTACGCTTAGTTGTGGAGAAGCTCTTGAACTGGTATCAGCAGAACATCAAAGCTGATAAGTTACAGTATTGGATAAACGCCCTCATTAAAGCTGATCAATTACTGCTTGATGTTCTTGTTTAGTTTGCTTTTTGAAAATTATACAAGAATTTAAGAGGCTTTTTAAGGAAAAAATATAAAAGTATAATGAAGAAATGATGATGACAAGCAAACAACTATGTGAGCTTAAGAAGAGAAAACAAGTGCAGACTACAATGAAGTAGTGAAAAGTATATGAAAGGGATAAATAAGCTTTTTTAAACTTGAACTTGAAGCAAGAGAAGCAAGGGAGAGTGAATTTATCTACGACCAAGGTCAAAATAAAAGAAAGAGAAACTAGATCATGAACAGGTTAATTTGTTCATTTTCTTTCCAGATTCGTAAGTTCAATACTTCTTTGTTTGATCCTTGGAAGACACTAACCAATAAATATGTAGACTCATATATGTTTCTCGGGTGTTTAACAAATAGCTGATAGGTTATAATTAGTGAACTAACACCTCGTGGACTGGAAAAAACAAACACACCCAAGAGTTGCTTTCCCCAATTCGGCAAAGCGGCGCTCTCAAAGAAACGTCAAGAGTTCATACAAATCACTCAGATTGGTACTTGCTCTTTCAGCGAGAAGCATGCTCATAAAGCTACTTGGCCTCACCTCAGGTGGTGAGTCATCAATAAAATCTATCATCCTAGCTACAAGGAAAGATACTGCAGAGAAGATTTAAACTCGACTCATTATGCTTGGTCGAACATGGAGTCCACTACCCTGTGACTCAAATGAACTCACCTCTCATATCAAGTCAGCTCAAGGACCCTTCCTAAAGGTCGACAGTATCACGATAGTACTCGTTGATAGTAGCTCATCTTGTCCAACCCATCAAAGGGCTCGCCTCCTTCAAATCCCATGAATATTCAATGTAAGAAAACTCGCCCTAAGACAGGGGAATTAGATTAGCAAGCAATAGTCATTCCAAGCACCTATTAGAGGGTGAAATTTGCCCATGGAAAATCATTTTAGGTTTTATTTATAATTGTATTTTTTAATTTTTTTTGGGTATAACATTCCCTGTAGCCATAAGATCCCTATAAATAAAAGATGAAGAGATATTTTGAATCCTTTTTGGCACTTTCTAAAAACAATATTAAACTAGTAAAACACTTCCCCCACCTTCCATACTCATAAGTTTGCAGGTCCCAATCTTCTTAGCTTGCCTACTAGTAAGGTCGGGTGTTACCCACAGACGCATTTGGATCAAACAAAATAAGTTTAAGATAAGTTAGGACTATAAAAACAAAAAAAACCCATTTATTTTATGTAACAAAACTGAATAATTCTAATATGATACATCGCATCAGACGGAATTTAAATCAAAGCCTGGACTGTTTGAATGTTGAGCCCACTGATGGAGTGGTTTATAAATAAACCACTCTTAGAAACTTCATCTAGCTATCATAATTTAAACTAGACTATTTACTCAAGTATATAAATCTGCTTCATCAGTTTAAAATGGAATACGAAGCAAAACATTTCCTGCTGTACGACCACCATTCAGGTATACTAGTCTAGGAGAACCCCATCTAAGCATTTCCAACATTTTGTCATGCCAAAATTTCAATAAAGTTCATCAATATCATGTTTATTTTGAAATTGGCCAACTAGAGGATTAGGATTAATAGAACAGAGAATACCTAAACGATATGTTATTTTAGTTAATGTGAAGTTAACATTGATAAATAAGTAATGATAGAGGTCCAAGTAATACTTAAATGAGATATGATTAAAAATACTGGATTTAATTCAATTCATAAAAAAATAAGTGTAATGTAAACAAACACAGACAAACATCTACAAGTAGTCCACCATCAATTGACATGAAAAGCGTTCATATTCTCCAAACAATTTTTTTATGTTATTACCTTCAAATGAAAAATCAAGAACAATGATAGCTGATCTACAACCTAAGAAAAACTTGTTGATCTAATTTGATCATTTTTCTAAAAGTATATGCCAATGACTGGACATGATGACACATTGAATAGCTTGTAATGCTCCTAAGCAAAAGTTTAACTTTGACTTGATCATTTCAACATTAAATTCATTGAATTTGTGCAATAGATATTGGACCATACATTCTCAAAAAATTTCATCTAATTTGTACTCGAACATCATAAACTTATCGAATCATTTAGTTCATTGTCAAATCCAAAAAGGTAGACGTGTACAATAAAACTGGAAAACCCAAAAAATCAAAACTAAAAATGCCTAACTGATTTGGTTTGGTTTAGGTCTGATATTTTATCTAAACCAACTTATTTGGCATAATTTAAGTTTGAGGTTTTGCAAAAACAAAACAAATCAAATCAAAATGATTAAGCCTAACATATTTAATTACAAATTCTATTCATAATTTCTATTACCAAGTTTTCAGATTAATTCATGTGGAATCACAACGTTCTTGGATTTCTTTTATGAAACCTTGGAGATGTTTCTTTTAATGATCCATTAACTTAAAACAAACTATGAAATCAACCTAGAAGAAACCATTAAAACCCATTTAAAATCAAAGTTAATACACTTAACAGAACCAAAAATAAAAGGATGCCTAAATATTTATATTCTTAAACCGAAAATCATACTAAACTGAACTGAAATTATCAGGTTAGTTTCGATTTGTTTATTTCATATACAAATCGGTTTGGAGCCAATCGAAACATACAGATCACTACAAAAGGGTACTAAGATTGTGTTCCTTATGCAAAACAAAACATTCATAAAAGCTTAGGAAATTCGGAACTATTTCTCAAGGCATATAGACTAAGAGAGTGCTTGATCATGCAATCAAATGTTACATATTTGAAAATAAACCATAGAAAATGATAGTAGCCTATCATATGCCTACATACCTACTTATATATATAGATGGATATTTGTGCAAATACACACGTCTTCATTCGTAGATCCTATATATATTTGTTTGTAGGTAATACACCACAATCTACATTTGGATTGCCAGATAGAACATAAGCACGCATCAGATAGCAAGGCACCTGTTTGAGATACCATTTGGCATTCCTCACTACTATGGGGAAAAATAAAAAAAAATTCAAAAAAAAATTAAATACTGTGGATATCAGTCAAGCAAGTCTCACAAAAATAAGCAAAAGATGACATTTTAGCTGGAAACATCCCAAATTAATCTAACATTTAGTTGCTGCATGCACTCTTCTCTGTAAAGTGCCCTCACATCCATAAAGCTTCATAAATTATATGGATAATGGAAGGTTTTTTTTTTTAACTTAAAAATATTTTCTTCTATTATTCATATTGTTAATAGTATAAAACAACTATTAGTACCAGACATAAACGTGTAATGATTGTTAAAATTTTAGTTACAAAATGTTCCAGCAGTCATGTTCATCACCCACGTTTTATAGCATCCAGCACACAAGAGAGCGAGAGCGATAGATGAAGATAGATATGGAGGAAAAAGGGATGCCACTAACATAAAAGAATTTTGCATTGTTGTTCCAATCATTGGAACAAGGGGAAGAGTATGCGAGCTCAATGTTACAAAGTTTAATAGAAATTCAAATTTGTTGTGTCGTATTGTGTTAGTATTTCTTTATTTTATAAGTATTTCAATCCAATGGGGTTGAACTGAAATCTTCCAGTTATAGTACATAAAATTAAAATTCAGCAAAAATAATTAGGACGCACCAAATGATTTTTCAATCATAAGGTGCATTTGAGCATTCATGCCTACGAATGAAAATAAATAATAGTATGACAAAAAAGCTAATCGGTGCTTGGGATTCTGGGTCAAACAGATGGTACAGTCCTATCAACATACTTCGTGATAGTGGGTAGCATCATAAAGTGTGAAAAAAAAAATAATCATGAATGTTATGTTCAAAAACTAGATTCATTGTCTTGGGATCATTTGGTATGATGCTCTTATTGTATCTTACGACGTGTCAATGTAAGGTACCTTAATATGAATTACATATCTTCCATTCATGGTTGGTTCCAGATGACAGAATACTATATGATTTTTTAAACCTGGATTTTTCTACTTTGTTGCGCTTCTCTTTCTATTTCAAAAAAAAGCAGTACTATAGACGAGATTGATTAGTTAATACCAAAAATAACATTTTCTCCTTGGTATGTATGAAATTTTCCTTACTACCAAGTGTGATGCTTGAAGAGAGATGGTAGAATCGCATCAGCCTCATTGATTGGATTATTCTTCCTTTTTCTTCATGCCATTTCCCTAACACTATTCCCTGTATCTATTATTAGCTCTTGGTTGTGTGTGATTTATTTTATTTATCTCTTCCATGAGTTTAGGATTCCAATCACTACATGAGTTTCATAGGTAGGTCGTCTTGTATGGTCTCAACACTTGTGCCTTGAATTTCCAATGTTAAGTAATATATCTTTTATTTTTCACTGCAAATCACTAATAGGAACTAATTATTTTAGATCCACCTGTGTGCTTCTTTGCAAATCTTGGCATGTTTTCATGCATGTAATCTGTTGTAGATTGTGCGGCTTCATTATAATTCATAAAAATGCATTCCATATTTCAATACTTTTCATTGATGAATTTGTTGCATATGAGAAAATCTAGACCTTGACAGGTGTCCGGCATCAAGAGGACTAGAATTGCAGCAGTCAAGCCACCTAATCAAAAACTTCTACATGAAGCATTTTTAAGGCACTTATGTATTGACATTGTTATTTGCATGCCCTTCAAATGGAATGGGATAAACTAGGTTAATTCAGAAATGACGGCTCAAAATGAACACTACTAAAAAAAAGTAGTTGGCTGGCCACATAAGTAGAGGTTAAATCGAAACAGTTAAATCCATTTTATAAAATTGTTTTGATATAAACATAAAAGCTTTAAAAGAAAAGCTGAACACTAATATCTGATAACAAAGCCTGCAAAGGACGTGACTAGAAGGACATGTATTTTAAGGTGTCATAGTATTTCATAAGGGAGAGTATTTACTTTCAAATTTACCTTCATTGCAGAAGTAGAAACACTTCATTCTAGTCCTCATCAGAAGAGCTTCCATCAGATGGCATGTTTGTACGTCCACCAATAGAGGCAGAATCCTTAAAAAAATAAAAAATAAAAACCTCTAAAGATAAAAATCAAAGTTTCATCGACTACATTTACAAGAAAGTGAAGCGCACATGACAAGGTTTACCTCCATTTTATCCCAGTCCTTCAACTTTGAGCTAGTCAGCATATAACCATCACGTAAAGGAGCCCATCCAAGTTCTTCTTCATTGGTTTTATTAAAATGGGTATCCTGTAATAAGTTAATTAAATCATCTTCAAATAATGAATGCATGTTCGAATAAGGACTAAGTTTGATTATGACAAATCAGACAAAATATACATTATATTACTGAGTTTCTATATTTAATTCTTCATTTATATAGAACGAGAGGTATAGCCGTATAGGCTAGTTATTATAGAAATAAAAGATTGTTGAATAAAAAGTTATAAAAATTAAACATTCTTAAAGAATGACATTGCTTGATTATGGCTGACAACAGATAAATTGCATTAATAAATTTTCAGCATCAAATATTCGTTTACATAGGAAGAGGCATAATGCAGGAAGTTGCAGACAAGCAAAACTGAATTTTAAAAATCTTACAAACGAATATGATTTTAATGTAAATGTACATGGAGTGACTGGATGTAAACATCAGAAAAATCAGAAGTTGCACTTGGAGAGCATAACTAGTTCCAAAAAATACTGAAAAAACAACAAAAAGAAAAGAACTATGGAGAAAATAGAAGCATCGTCCTTTCAAATTATGATACTCATTGACAATGTCTCCAAGGCAAGAAACTAATAGCATTTTCTGATCTTGTTTCATGTAGAACTAAATATAGATGTTACATTCCAAAACACAGTGATACACTGCTATAAAAGAATCAAGAATATTAAAAATCTAATTGACAAGTTATACATAGAAAAATTAAAGAAAGTATTTTAAATGTTTCAGGACAATGAAAATATACCCAATATGTGGCTACCAAAGAAAATATGAATAAAGAAAGAAGTTTGCATATGAAATGAAGTGTGTATCACAATGAGAATAGTCAACACGAACAATCACCAAATGCAGCCTTGGAAAAAGTTTGATGGCAAGAAATTTTTCTGATGGAAAAGAAACTAATACAATACAAGGGATATTGACAATGTCAATGTTAATTATCATGATGATGATTAATATTTTAGTTGTCCATAAATGAATCTTTGAGCCTAATCAATGGCTGCCCGATACCATAGGAATTAATAGAAATCCCCCTATACAAAAACCTATCCCAAAATAAGGATATCACTATATTTTTTAGCTATGAAGAATAAATACTTTTAGAGGGTACTGTAATCATTAAGCTTGGATAAAGACAGGTTATACTGGCTGGCATATGATATACCAGATACTCTCAAAAGGATATCTACGATTACAATGTGCGATCATATTATAAAATATATATGTACTCAAATGCATTTTGTACATATGTAAATTTTGTTTGGCCGTGTTCCAAGAAGATCACAAAAAAACCAATTTAAAAATAAATGCAGTGCAGGTACCTCAAACTTGCAAAGCGAATTAGCCCAAGTGAATAAAAATATTGTAGAACTATAAATTAAAATAAAATGGAAGTAAGAATCAACAGCAATAAAAATGATTCAATGAAGAGTTCAAGGAAAAGCAGAGTACAATACAAGGGAAACACTACTTTTACATTTTGCACACAAAAAAATGTGATAAAAATATAATCTAATTACCTGTGATGAGTTGAATGTAGTAGTTGTTGACTTCTTCAACTCTGATAGAAATGTCTTTTTCCTTTGTTTCGCTAAAGCTTCAAAATAAGAAAGCAATTATAGGAAAAATATCAAGCTACAGACCTTTGAGCTGACATCATGATACCTTGGCGTAATATAAAATGATGAGAATGGAGAAAGCAACTTCTAGAGGCCATGTTTAAGGAAGAAATATGTGATGATTTTTGGAGCAAAAACCTCAAGGTTTTTTAGCTTGCGAGCTAAGTCCCCTTTCCCCTTCTCCTCTTATATTTCGTCTTAGACTTCTAATCTCCTTCTTCTCTCCATGGTATCCACTCCACATGTATCTTTCTTTTCAATCTTTATAAGTTGTGTCGTGTCATGTTTTATTGAAAGTTGAAGTGTTATTGTGTCCTTTTTATTTGAAGTTATAAGGTGTTGTCGTGTCTTGTTTAGTGTGTGTGTTTTGCCATTTGGAAGGAGGTCAAGTTTTTTTTTATTTGCAATACTTTTGTTTTGATTGCATCAATTTGGTATCAGAGCATTTAGGTAATCGTGTGTCTTTTTTTTATAAAAAAAATGGAAAATCAAAATGATATAGAATATGTTGTTGATGAAAGTCAAATGCCTTGGATTCAAGAAAAAGGATTTGCTGTCACGAATTGGGTACCAACTCAAGGATGTTAAACTGATCCACTCCAGAACGAGCTTTACAAATTTCAAGAAAAAATGTGCTTTTGTGCAGAAAAATATGAGAGTAAGAAGCGTTTACTTCTAGCTGAGTTTAATCAAGAAAAAGAGATGATCGAAAAGTAGTACGTTGCTTTGATTCGGGAGTTGGATATGGCTCAATCTGCGCTTGATGGAGGTTCTAAAGATATCTCATCAGGAGATGAGATTTCTCCACCAAGGGAGATTTGATATAGGCAAAAACGGGCATTTAATAGTGGGTTGTTTTTTCTTCTATTGGGCTTGGCCCATTTGTCTTATGGCTGTTTGGTGTTTGGAGGATTGGGGTTGATAGGGGAGCTATCTTTTTGGCTTTGTTGCTGGGTTCTTATGTGCCGATTTCCACTTATTGGTGGTTGTTCGGTTTCTGGCTGTTCAGCTCCTGGTTGTTCCTTTCCTGGTCGTTTCTTTCCTGGTTGTTCGGTTGTGGTGCTGCAGTGATTTTTCCCCTATTATGGTTGGCTGTTTTGGGCAGTTTCTTGGGTGTCTTTTGAGCTCATTTTCCCTATTTAAGGGGGTTATTTTACTGTTGTTTAGAGAAAAAAAATGGACTGATTTTTGAAAAGAAATCCTGAGGGTTTTGTAATAGCTTGCGAGCTATTATCTTCTTCTCTTCTTCTTATAATTCGTCTCGAACTTCTAATCGCTTTCTTCTATCTATGGTTGTCGCCTCAACATGTCTCCTTCTCAAAATTTCTTTAAATTGCAAGGTGTCCCTGAGTCGTGTTTTATTTTAAATTATAAATGTTGTCGTGTCTTGTGAGTTGTAGCGTCGATGTGTCATGTTTGTCGTTAACAATTATCTATAATATGTATCTTTAAATTTGCAATCTTAGTGCCTTTTTATCTATGTTGTAAGAAAGGAAGTCTTTTACTTTTTGCAAAATTTTATTTGCATCAAAAACAGAGGATTGTTGAACACTTCATAGTTTTGACAACCAGCATAGAATTGGAAGAAAGCCCACATTTTCCAACAACTAATCAGAAGAAACTATTTATCTAGCAAGAAGACGAATCCCCAACCATCAATACGATGAAGTGGTCAACACAACTCCCAAATTAAAGGATTTCATCAATGGCCCAATTTTAGCAGCACAATTTTCTCAAAAAAAGCCTTCCTTAAAGGTCCAATTTCTGCTTTATTCGAGGGATCACTGGATATATTACTAGATACAAGTCATTTGAATAGAAATTAGGAATGCAATTTAATATATAAATCCATTGGAATGGGCCAAAATGCTTGAATGTCTTCTTGTGAGATAAAAAGAAAATGCTGATACGGGTTCTTGCTACCAAAACTCTGTTTTTTACCTTGCTAGTTTATATGATTGTACTCATATTTCCTTATGCTTAATGGTAAAAATATCAATGCTTTGTGAGACAAGTAAACACTATAAACAAAAAATTTTGTAGGTGGATTTGGAAAGGAGATTTTGTTATAATATCTTCACTTCTTGTTATTAGTATTCCAACAGTGAACCACTGCTGTTTGTCTCTTATAAAAGATTCTTCCTAAAGAATTTGCAGATAATTGCTGACGTTCAACAGTTAAACATCCGAATTCTTATATGACACAAGAATTCCACATAAAGTGATACTAACCCTTCAGCTTGTTCATCTGATAGCTTGCTCAATCTTCTGCATCTCATTCGATGTAATTAACACAAAGAACGGGCATAATAAATCTTGGTGGTTCAAAGATCTTATCATGGTAAACATCAAAATTATTGATAAGGCTATTAGAAGAATGATTTCTGTAAATCTAAAGCATGTCAAACTCATCTCCTTGATGCCTCCACACCTTGCATCACCCTCGTTGTCCTCCATCAACTACTTCTCACTAAGCCTACATTTGTTCCTTCCTAATCAACTACAGCCTCCTCATTGACTAGTTTTGTTCTCTTTTAGAACCCTTTGAAGCTCGTAGTCTTGTGCTTGACATGATTGTCCACGGACGCTACCCGACTATGGTGACATAGACTACCCATCTGATGAGTTTGGTCGGGTATATATGCATTTGGCATCTTACAAAGGGTTGTTTAAAATTCTTCATGTCTCTTCATCTCAAATTATCGATAGTTATTGCAGATATAGATTGGAGAAAATAATTTTGCAGTTAGATTATTCAAGCTACTTTGGAAAATCTTTTAATCGCTTCCCCTACAAAGACCGATAGTCTTTATGTATATACTCACTAAAGTTCTTAAAACACCTACTTACTTGTAGAGGAAAAGCATCGCTAGCTCTAATTAAACTATAATTAAAGTGGACAGATTTTGATTTTTAAGAAAGGCATCAATCAAGAAGTATTGAAATGAATTATTCACTCATCCCTTCTTGTTCTTAATAAATAGTAACAGAGTTAAAAAATCATGAAAATGGCAATGGAAACATTCAAGATTAACTAGTTCAAAGGACAAAATGACCAGCCTTCGAAGACTGAAGATAAAGGTATTGATCATGCATCAACGATCAAATGTGGCATTATCAGAAAAAGCACTACAAAAGATGGATGCAAGAAATCTATCAAATCTTACTAGCAAGGCTCATAGTGCAATCCTCCTAAGTCTTGGAGATGAAATTATAAGGGAAATTACCAAGGAGAAGTTAGCCATTAATGTTTGAGAAAGTTTGAATATGCCTACTTGTAAATTGATTCTACCTCACAAGGAGGATATAAACCTTGTAGATGGACGAATATAAGTAACTATATAAGTATTTGGATGACTTTAATGTGATCACAACAAATCTTAAAATCATTGGAGCTGAAATCAAGAAGGAGAATCTTGTCATAATCCAATTTAAGTTCTTTGCCCAAGAGGTTTGAATATTTTGTTGATAATATGATACAAGGTAAAATCACTCTTTCCACTGCACAAATGAAACTATCATTAAATTCAAAAGAATTATAATAGAGCGAAGAATCTAAAAATAAAAATGTTTGAGAAGGGGTATGAACATTTTGTTAATAATATATTAAATGATAAAATCACCCTTTCTACAACATAAGTGAAATCATTCCTAAATTCAAAAGAATTATAAAAGAGAGGATAATCAAATGATAAAAATGTTGGTTGTAGCCTTATGGCTTGTCAGAGAACAAAAATTTGTTATTTCAATAATAATTATCAATAAAGTTCCATGTAAAAGTTTAATAAGAAAAATGATAGAAAACAGCCCAAACAAATGGAAAATAGAGCAGAAACATGCAGTAAACAACAATTTTTCCCACAAAACTGTAGGAAATCAGAGAGAAAACACTTGAAATTCACTAGTAGAAGAAGAAAAATAGCACAAGATACACGGATCTTCAATTTGAGAGAAAGAACCAACTCTCCAAATCTCTAGCCAACGACTAGAGCCCAAGCACCACACAAGAGATTCCAAATTCAGATTCAAATTCAAGATAACTCTAACCCTAACAAGACAAGACTAATTAAAGAAAAAGGACAAAAACTTAATCCCTAAACAGCCACTAATTTGAAATTTTCCTCTAATACAATGTTGAATTAAAGTGTGGGTCCCATATGCTTAGTCGCTCCCTCTCCCCCTTAATTCCGCCCCCCTTGGCCCCTCCTATTAAAGTGTGGGTCCTCTAATACAATGAGAGATCTTAGTTTTTTTCTTGATTTTAGCATTAAGCAAATTGAGGAGGGAACATTTCTTAGTCAGTCAAAGTATGTTAAAGACAATCTCAAGAAGTGTGAAATAGACAATGATAAACCAGTAAGTACACCTATGAGTTCATCAGTTCAGTTGGATAAGAACCCAAATAGAGAATATGTTGATAAAAAAAAATTAGATGAATTATTGGATATTTACTCTGTTTGACAGCTAGCAGATCAGATATTATGTTTAGTGTTTGTTTGTGTGCTAGATTTCAATCAGATCCGACAGAATCACATTTGATAGTAGTAAAAAGAATTTTGAGATGCTTTTGAAAACTCAGGACTTAAGGATTTAGTATCCTACGTATAGCTCTTCATTTGAAATTGTTGGATATTCAGATTTAAACTTTGCAGGTTATAGGGTTGATCGAAAGAGTGCATCTGAAACTTGTCAATTTATAGGAAATTATTTATTTCTTGGTCCAGCAGAAAATAAAATTCCGTAGCCCTATCTACTGCTGAAGCTGAATACATTACCATAGGAAGTTGTGTGGCACAAGTTATTTAGTTGAAACAGCAGTTGATTGATTTAGTATTTACAATAGACACAATTATAATTTATTGTGATAATACTAATATCATTTGCATTTCAAAAAAATCCTATTCAACATTATATAATCAAATATATAGACATAAGACTATTTTATTAGGGATCATGTAGCCAAAGGAGAAATTGAATT